GACTCATCGATACAGGGTGGAACCACAGGGATTTTAGTGAGATCCACACAAGCACAAAGCCTTTCCTGCTTGCTGCTCAGCTGCTGCTGATTTCCCCCATGCCTAAGACAGAACCTCGTGTTCAGCACCCGCGTTCTGCAGCTATTTACTCTGGGGAGGGGTTGGGAGGCTAATAAAGAGACCCTGGTCATGCACGTTGAAAAATAATAATAAAAGAGTTAATTCTGAAGTCAAACCACCTCCCACCAACACTCTTCTCTCAGTAGGAAAATTTTTCAGTGAAGGCATTAAACTTGCCAAGGTCTTTTAATTCAGCTGGCAGGTCCCAGCAGCCCCTCTCGCTGTCTGCAGCCCACGACTGTGCTGCAGCCCAGGCACCAGGACTGGACAAAAACCACCATCACATCAAACCTCCTTTGTTTCAAAAAGCCCTTTTTCCTGCAGAAAATGGCATTGAGCTAAACACAACTGCTGTGGGATTTTTTTTTGTTTTTATTTAATTTTTTTTTTCCCTTCTTGCCCCTCTCCTTACAGCCAGGGAGAAGGGCTGGCCAATTCCCAGGGACACAAAAAAAAAAAAAAAGGAAAAAAAGGAAAAAATTCAGTATTTGAGTGAGAGAACAATGGAGGTGCAGGAACAAGTTTCCACTTTGAGCTGGAAAATGAAAATCCCATTTCGCAGCATTAGAGCAGCAGGGCTCTGGAACAGCTTTCCAGTGGGAGGCAGTGGGGGCAAGAGAGGGAAGAGCTGCGAGGCAGAGCTCCATCACCCCCCGAGGGGATGGGCAGAGCACTTGGCAGGACCCGATGGCTCAGTCGCCTTCCCGATCTGGGATTTTAGGGCCAGAGGTTGGAGGGAGGAAGGAGAGGGCTGAGATCAAATCAGTGCCCTCCTTAATCCTGGGCAAATCGAGCAATCCCCAGCACTCGGATCTTTCCCTCTAATCACCACCCTCACTTGCTGACATCCAGGGAATGGAAAAGCTTCACCTGCTGTAGAACTGAGAAGGAAAAGGTGTTTACAACCACCTCAGCCACCCTGAGGCTTCCAGATGCACTGTTACACCAGAACACCAGGCTCTGCAGCACAAAGCTCCAATTCCTTCTGCTCTTCCTCCATCCTTCACCCCCTCTGGGCCTCAGGCACAGAGGCCAATGCTAGCCAGGATCCATGTCCCAGTAATCCATCCCCAATAAGGAAGATAAAATGATAACAAGCCATGTAAACTGCTGCTGCAGGGTTTAAACTGCAGGATTGCTTTGATGGGATTTCCATTTCTGTCTTCAGAGCCTCTCTGTCCTCCTACAATGTAAAATAATTCTCACTCCATGGAAACACGAGCCTAAGTCATAGAAAAATAGAGTAAAGAGAGAAATACTCAAGGTCTTGTTATGCCCTGAGATAACCATCCGTCTCATGATGTGAGGAAAGATTGCCTGAGACAAAGAATCATTTAGAAAAAGAAAAGGCTGAGCTGCCACATTAGTCTTGAAGAAAAAAAGATTATTCTAATGCACAGAGAGCCATTACACACCAGCAATTCAGTAACATTGCTCAGTTTGCACTTAAGACTGCATTTACCAGGCTGTCTTCACTGAGAAAGCACAGCTTTAAACCCACAGAAAACAGACACCCAGGACACAGAGGTGTATAATGACAGAGGACCCTAAGCCCCATCTAATGACTTTATTAGTGGCTCCTACCCCAGAATTCAGTCCCAAAGATGTAACCAAGGCAGTCTCATTATGCATTACCAATTGATGACATTTTTTGCAACTGAAATATCTTTTATTCAAAACAACCTTTCTTTGCAATTTAAGGTTTTATAAAAATGCAATTAATAAAAACCTAACTAAAAACCTAAAAAAATTTTACAAACGTAAAAACCTGCAAGTGAAAAATGTAATCTCTTAGTTATTTTACACTCTGATTTTCACTTTCTACATTAGCATCCTTTCTGCATTCCCACCTGTCATGGCCAGGGTCCCTGTAAGACAGTTCTCTCCACCTGAGACATCCCTCAAAATCTCTTTGAAAGCTCTGGTTTTGCACAATAATTTTTTTTTTTTCCAGATATATACACAGGTCCTGGGGAAGATCCAGACCTGACCTTCATGTGCACCACATTCAATGCCCCATTCCAGCCAAGTGTGCACCTCCTGTGCACAGGCCAGGGAAACACATCTTGAACAGGGCAGCCTTACAGGGCTCAGCCACTTCAATAATCCTCAGTCACAGTTAAGTGGCAAATCCTGGCCCAGCCCCAGGCAAGCAGCAGTTGTGCCCAGATGTCCCCAAGGAGATGGGATCATCCTGCAGGGGATGAAGTTATTTACCCAGCCCAGGAGGAAAAGCCTCCTCCAATGCCCCATGTCTGTCCCCAACTTTGATTTTCCTGTGGTCACAGCTTAGCCCAGAGATGCCAAGCTGAGAGCTCCACTGCACCAGGGGTTTATGACAGGACACAGAATACCTGGGACAAGCTGTGGCTTCAGGGCTCTGGCTACTGAGCCTCTCCCAAATGCCAGAACATTAACAAAAGAAAATAACCCTTTTTGACAGCAGGGAAGGAAAAAAAAAACCAAACAAACTTTCATCGACTGGCTGATTTCTCAAACAAATATTTCCAAAAGAAAAAGAAAACCCAGCTGGCTTCCAAATACACAAATTAAAGTGACTAACAGAGAATTTTCCCTGTTACATTTGCAGCCCATCCTATTCTTTGTTATGAGCATCCCTGAGCTAAATGGCTCCCTCTTATCATGGATCCTGTACTAACAGGGTATTTCAGGGAAAGGCACCCACCTGAGAAACAGCAAAAACAAATCCTGATTTTGGCTTCCCCCCAGTTGTACCAGATCAGTCCTACGGTGATACTCACATGTGGGAAAGCACAAGGCTGCCCTGCTTCCCTCAAATTCTGTTCACTCCCCACCCTCCCTCCTCCTTTCCTTCTCTCTTCATTTTCTCTGCTGTGGTACTTTTCCAGTGCCAGCTGCCCACCTGGTTCCAGCTGTCACCTGCATCTTCCTGTGCACCCCACTCCTCAGCAGAGAACATTCTTGCACTCCTTTCTGGAGGCTCTCTGGATACTTTATCCTGCCTCTCCTGCATTACCTCATCCCCAGAAAGAGCTGGCCTGCCACACCTGCTCAGGATGAATAACTGAATTCAGGGTGAATATTTTCTATACTATCTACAGACACAAGTTCTTATCTTAAGTAGCCCAGGGCATCTGAAGCTTATTGTCACTCCCAGGCAGATGAGCACATTACAGCACCATGAATAGCTCTCCTTTGCCAAAGAAACTAAAGCAAAGGAGTCACTAAAGAAATTGGGTTGATAAACAGGGTCCTAAGGAAGTAATGCCACGAGAGTTCAGAAGAGGCTGAATGATATTAATATAGCACATCTTGACTTACAAAAGACACTGGCCCAAATTTTCCTCTCTGACTTTCAGATTCACTAAGACATCTCTGTATGCAAATGTCACCAAAACCGAAGTATGGTTTTGTTGTTTTACAAGCCCTTTTGGTGCCTATAACAACCACCTTCTTGTCCTGGTATGAGCTCTTTTACTGACCTACAGCTCCATCTCCACCCTGGTGATGCTGAGAAACTTCTCATCTTGCCCAGGGGCTTTATGTTCTATACCCACAGGGTGAGGGAGAATCGCCCTGCTGATCTGAATGGCCCAGGTTTGTAAAGTTTTCTCCAGGAAGGAACAATTTAGGCAGACACCTACTCGGGGAGTCCAAGCTGTGCTCAGCAAGACACCTCCGAGGTGGGCTGGTACAGTCAGACAGCAGATGGGTGTGAGCAGGCAGAGCAGCGCGGCGCTGCAAAGCCGTTCTCGCTGTGCCCAAAGTTCTTTGTCCTTTCCAGCTGGGTACCGGAGGACACAACGCATCTGAAAGTGAACTGCAGTGTCCTGGGATGCAGATTAGGGACATAAAACCACTGGGAATGGTACGAGCTGGAGAGAGGTATCCAACAGATCTTGACATCCGAAACAAATCAATAGCTGGGAAAATAGGGCTTAGCTGAAGTGGTGGGTTTTTCTTTAACCTATAGAATGACAGAGGCTGAAAAGGACATCCTTTCTCTACACCTCCTCGGAGCCATCCTGCCCAAGCTAATACGAATTTAGGTTTTTCTGTGCGGTGATTTTTTCTTCTTTTTAAAAATAGGAAAGTTACCAGTTCTGCAATTTTTCTAAGATTGTTCTCAAAGACAGACCACCTCATGCAGACGCTGCTCAGCAAGAGCATCAGGGCCCGACCCCAAAAATTCACCATCCAAAGGGCGAGGAAGACATTCCCAGCCTAGATTTTGTCCCTCCGCACACGAAGACGTCTACAGGCACTCCAGCCCCGCTCCCTGCGCAGCTCAGGCACCCATCGATGGCAGCTGGGCAAAGGTTGTCGGGCAGAATGTCCGCAGCGCTGCCTCCGGTTGTCCCCGCGTGTTTGCTCACTGACAGGGCAGGAACAGCCCAGGGGGCCCGGAGGACACGCCACCCCCGCAGCCCAGGGCACCCCGGCAGAGCCCCCTCGGCCCGGGCAGCGGCCCCGGCTGCGCTGCAGCCCGCGGGGACCGGCGGGGATGACATCAGCGCTCACGGCCGGCCGAGGAGCCGGGCCGGGCCGGGGCAAATTGGGGAAATCGGCCGGGGCCGGTCCGCGGGGACCGCGGCAGAGCAGCGCATCCCTCCACCAGCCCCGGAGCATCCCCGCTGCATCCCCCGCCGTGGGGAGGGGGGTCGGGCACACCCTCGGTGGGGCGCAACCCCCGCCGCTCCCGGAGAGGGCAGAGCCCCGCGCCCCGTCGCTGCCGTGCGGGGCCGTGCAGTGTCATTCCGTGGGTACCATTCCGTGGGTACCATTCCGTGGGTACCATTCCGTGCGGTACCGTGCCGTGCCATGCCATGCCATGCGGTGCGGTGCGGACAGGTGCAGGTGCAGCCGCCGCCCGCGCCCCCCGCCTCCCCTGCCCTTACCCGGGGCGGCGCAGTCGGCGCACGCCGCATTCCCCGGCCGCTGGAGCAGCTCCACCAGCGCCTTCCTGCTCCTCTCCTTCGCCATGGGGGCGGCGGGCGGCTCGGCGGGGCTGTGCTCGCTCCCTTACGGCAGCCTCATGGCGCGGGCGGGGGGCGCTGGCGAGGCGGGCGGCGCCCGGGCGGCTCCATCGGCCCCGCTCGCCCCGCGCACGCCGAACGCGCCTCCGGCCGCCGGGACGCGCCGGGGCGGTGCTGCCCTCCCTGCCCTGCCCTGCCCTGCCCTGCCCTGCCCTGCCCTGCCCTGCCTGCCCTGCCCGCCCGGGGCGCCTGTCGCCCGCCGCTGCCGGAGCCGCCCGGTGCCGCCGGTTCCGCTTTCAGCGGGCGCTGCCGGCTCCCCGCGCCCTCCAGCGGCAGCGCGGCACCGCCGCCGGCCCTACCCCCGAGGGGGTCCCCGACCTTCCGGGCATCCCATCCCGCAGCGTGCCCCCGGCACTCGGGGGTGCCTTTCCTGGTTTAACTCCTGCCCGCGGAGGGGATGCTGTGGTGGGTGGGAGCCGAGGGGCTGCACCTGCGGGAGGCGGGGGCTGGCAGCAACCCCAGCTCTCACTGGCCAAGGCCTCGCCACTCAAACTCCTCGGCAGGCTCATGAGCAGCGCGTTTGGGATGCCCCTCTAACACCAGCAGCTTTTGGGGGTACTTGTGGAGGTTTCACTAGTGGCCCCACGCACTCCGAAACACTCCTCCTTCGCTGCTGTCCTCGTACATCACCACCAGCTTCTGGGTCTGTGTCTTGGCAGGACCGTCCTCCAAGCGTCTTCCTCCTTTTTTCACACCTCTATGGTGTCAAGGGACTATTGTGGAGAAAACATCCCTGTGTCATCATGGCTGTGCATCTCATGCCATCTATGGGGCAAGACTCCTTGTTTTGCCAGCTAAAGTGCCACTCAGGGGTGGGGTGTGGGAAGCTTTTGGCCAAGAAAGCTTCAGAGCTGTGCCTCCTTAGCCCCTGCTGAAACCTTCTTCTCAAGTATGGGTCACCTGTGCTGCTGCTATGTCCTGTTTGTGGTTCACACATCTCTGTCTATAAAAACAATTTTGGTTTTACAAAGCAAGTCCCCATTCAAATATCCAACTCTGCTTCCTCCAACAAAGCAGAGCCCTCCTGCAAGCTCAGCTCGTGCCATTCATGCTGCCCATGAGATTCAGGGTGTGCACGAGCATCTGCAGGAGGAGAATACCAGTAGCTCCTGGAAAACTTCCTCAACCAAACCACCATCTTGATCCTGCAAATGAGAGGACATGAGCAGGTTCCTGAGAACACTGTGGGAGAAAATAGCCCCTTAAATGCAGGCAGAGTCGTGGCCTGGTATATATTTCCCTAAATGACCTTTGCATTTGTGCTGCCAGACAGGTGACTGCATCCAGGTTTATTTCTGTTTTAAACTGATGCTGAACTGTTCCTTGCTGACTCAACCCAGTGTCATGCTGGGTTTTCTGGTTTTACACACACAGCTTGATAATGTCTAGAAACTCACTCCCATCCTAACCAAAGGCATAATCTTCCTCACTGACCTTTTTGGGGGAAACTGATCTGCTGCATCCAGACCCTCACCCTCCTCAGCCTCTGAGTCACCAACACTTACCTGGAGCACTGACTTCTAACACCCTCAGAGTGAAACCAGCTCAGCAGAGTACCTTAACCCTCCCCACCTGCGCTGTGTTCAAGCTTGCCAGCGTAAATGCTACAGGATCAGAGCTTTACCTAAGCCCAAGCTAGGCCAGGTTTTCATTTGCACTTTTGCTCTTCCAGAAGAGGCTTTTGCTGAATGTCTCACGCAATAGCCAGGATGCTGCACATCATCATGAACTTACCACGGGCCGGGGCTGCGAGCAGGGAGGGGGTTTGGTTTGAAAGTCTCTGTTTTGCTTTCCATTAAGACTTATTGATTCTCTTAATTTTTTGTTCTCCTGGTTGCTAGGCAATTCCTCTCTCCCCTCCCTGTGCTGGAAGCCAGGGCTGCAGACAGAAATTTATATCTTGTAATAAAATCAAATAAAACAGAGCCTGTTGTCAATGATGAGAGGAGAGAGTTTCATAAAGGGCAGGCAGAGCAGGAGAGCAGGGCCAGCAAGGGTGGATCAGCAGCATCCTCAGCATTTAAGTCTCCTCACAATTACTCTGGACTTCACACAGGGATACAAACAGCCCACGTGCATGGAGTGAACGTGGAGAGATAGGGAGAAAAGTTGGAATTAAATGAGCCAGAAATGAAGATAAACTTTTATTTAATGGAAAATCAAAGGCTTGAGCTGACCTCCCACATACAAGGGTATCTTTGTAAATTTACTCCTGGTTTATCCCAGGTTAAGAGGTTGGGTATTGCCCCGGTGTTGGTTGGCACAATGCTGATCCAGGGCAGGCACTGAGGCTCTCCTGATGGACATTGACTCCTGAGGATTGTGATTCCTGGCGTAGACCATGGACTGCATCTGAGTTTGCATCTCACACGGGGTAAAGAGCAAAGGTTGCTCCTGCAGGGCTGGTGGAGGCTGATGGGCATCACTGCTCAGTCTTATCCATGTCAGGTTGTTCCCTCCTCTGAGCTTTGCCCCACATTTTCCTGTGGGTAGCACCTTTCAGGGAATTCCTAAGTGAATTTGCTCCTACTTCTTGTGAAATCTCTGACCAAACTCTCTGAAGATGGGTTGTCGCTGTCAATACATTCCCTCATTCACTTGCTTCCTGTTTCTCCACTGCTAAGTGACTTGGAGGTCTGACATAAATTCATATCCATATGTATGTAAATACATATTTATGGGTAAGATGTGTTTGTTTGTAAACACACACACTTTTAACTCAGCCTTTTCTAAATCACAAGGTTGTTGCCTTAGAAACGGACGTTATTAATGCGATCTCCCGAGGTGCTAAGCACAGTGGCAGCAAGGGCAGCCTCTGGAAATGCCAGATACTGAGGTCAGGGCAAAGAACGCTCAGAAATTCCTAGGAACCTTTCCATCATCTTTGTGGTGATGCCCTGAAAATACACAGACATAACTCTACCTTCTCCTTGCCCTTCCATATCAGCTCCTTTCACCCCGAGACTGCCTTTTGTCAGAAAAAAGAGCTGTTTACACTGGGGTTTAGTTAATTTTGCAGCCCTAGCCCTGAAATGGCTAAATCAATGTCACAAGCATGCAAGTGAAAGGGTGTTAAACACAGCCCTCGATGTGACCCGGGAGCGCATTCACAGCGCAGCGTGGGGAAGCATTACAAATTCCTGCGTGAACAGCAAACCTGAACAGAAATATCAATAATTCATGCCACGGCAACTGCATTCAAGCAAAACTCTGGAGTAGCAGATAGACCAGGCAGAATTCCATGGGCTTCCTCAGCACCACAGGGGAGGCAGCTCTTGCAGCTGGAGGTTTGTGTGAACAAGCTGCAGCACTGGCACCAGCACCTATGTTAAAGCAGCTCATTTCCGTTGCAGTATTGGTTTCCTGTTCAAAAGAAAAAGAAAAAAGGAAGAAACCAATCCTAGAGGTTTTTCTTTTAAAAAAGGAAGAGTTTTCTGGGTTATCCAGTTAAATCAAGAGTGAGTATAGCTGGGAGGGAGGAATGCTGCAGAGCAGAGAGCTCAGACCAGGGCAGTTTAAAAACTCTTGAACCAAAAATCCAATACTTATGCCAACTTTCTCTTATTTTGAGCAAATTGCTGTATGGAGCCTGTGGGATTGTTTCGGTGTGGAACGGGGAAAAGCACACTCACAGCATCTGTGTGGTTAGGATGTGTGGATCGAGTTGAAGAGGACGATGCAGGAGAAAATGATGTGAGGGTGGAAAAAGAACTGTGATGTCCTGTGTCTGCAGAGCTGCTCTGCACCTGCAGCAGCCCTCAAAGAAGAGAAAGAGTTGTGCAGCTCTGAAAGTGTCTCACTGCAGAGTAATCTGCAAATCAGGGTTTCTTTCCATTTGCATAGTGGTTAATTCTATTGCAGCCCAGTGTCACCAGTGTGAAAAAAAGGGAGTTCCTTTGCTCCCATGATTTAACAGTCATGCAGTCACCACCTTGCAAACCAGACCACAGAGATCCTCTGTAGGGAAGCAGAACTGGGGAGAATGAGGACAAGGAGGGGGTTCAGACCAAAATCTCTTTTTTTAGATTTCTGCAACACCCTAGAGCTGATCACTGCTCTCTCACAGCCATGCTACCACAAAACTTCTCCAACCACCAGCCCCTCATGTGCTCAGAACACCCTTTCAGATTCTTTTCTGCCTGCCTCTGGCCAGCAATGGGCTGGTTTGGTGGTCAGCAGATGGTTGCAGGGGCTGCTTAGCTGCTCAGACAGCATGGTTGGGAGCCAAAATACACCTGAGACAGAGACAGGGGGGTAATTGATGGCTTGAAGATGTTGGATATTTGTATGTCTGCTCCCTGGCACCTGGGGAAATCTCAATGTAAGAAAAACAGCTCTGCAACAGTCCTGTTGTTGCACCAAACCCATTTCCTATGATGTAAAATATGACATAGAGGGGGCAGCTGAGGGAATTGGCTCCACAGCAGCTGCAGTGAACCAGCTGGAGCTATGCTGATTTCTGATGTCCAATGACAGGCTCTTTTCTGCATACAGAGGAGATGAAATTAGTCCAAGGAAGTCAACACTTCACCTACGTCAGTGGTAGACCACTGCTTTTAGCATTATTCCTGATTTATCCTAATTGAGAGACTTAGTCCTGTGGAATCTCTGTGTGGAGAAAGCCAACATGTGTGTGATGACACTCATACATCAGGGGATCAGCTCCTCCAAAGAGAAGTCAGTGACTATTCAGAGCAGGACGTCATCAATTCAGTCTGAGTCAGAGACACAGCAGGACAGGTTTGGTGTGCAAACAGCAGGGCAGCACTTACCATGGAAATTGGTTCTGCTCAATTCCAATAATTTCATCTCTTCCTGGCTCAAATGGCTCATCCTTCCAGGAACAGCTTGGAGACATTCAGGCAGGAGACTGAGCTGTGAGATGTCACATTCCAGGGTGGAGACTGAAGTGACCCACCCACCTGCTGCCAGTGCTGGGAACCAGGAGCTGCTCCAGC